TGTATGGGCTTCTGAGGAAAAGCGTCGAAAACATAGAAGTATTATGCTTAAAATGGAAAAATTTTATTCGATATGATTTTGTAAATAAAACGTAGCTGGTTCTATCTTTTATAGTAAAATATCGAAAAGAGAGTACAAAATAATGTGGATCGGTCACACCTGCTCCTGCTTTCAGTTAAAGAAGTTATAATACTTATAATTACTATTGAAATTTATTCTTTTAGAAAAATTCAATAAGCATTGGGTAGGTACTTCGAAATGTTATTAAATTCATCAATTTGGTTATAATATTAATAGTTTATTTGATAGAAATTTCATGTGACTTAAATATATTCGCTCCACTTAGAATATTGATATTCCAGACAGCATTTAACATCATTTACAATAGAGACATTTGCTAATTCACGCAATAAAATTCAATCATATAAATATAAATAGAATGACATGTACAGCAAAAATAATTGAATTGAAAGTACCACTTCAGTTCAATTGAGACAAATTAATTTAGATTAAAGATCTCTCTGAACGAACTATATCAATCAAAATTGAAGATAATTGATACGCATATATTATCACATTAGAATTTATATCTTCAATTACTTATATAACAAGAAATAAAGTTGCTATATTTTGTATATTAGATCTACTTTTTGCAAAAGGCTTTATTTTGCAAATATTGCATAAGATTCAATAAATTTAAGGAACAATATCTTGATTTACCAATAAATTTTTACTCAACGTCTTTTAGAATTGTATTCCAAATTTTTGAATGTTTGCATCATCAATCTGGACTTAAAAAACAAGCACCGACTAATACGAGTGAGCTTAAAAACATTCCATATTCAAATAACAATCATATATTCCATAATAAAAATCATGTGGTCATAATCCACTAATAGAAACCTCAATACATCTTCAGCCTAGACCTTTTTTTCCAAATTCCAGCAATGACTGGAGGACTAATTTTGAACCAAGCAAGCTTTAGTTTTTGGACTTTGCCAACGGCCAATTCTAAATCTAAAACATCTTCTGACATTTGCATTTCGATATATTCCGCGCGTGTGTCACTTCTGGCGACACATTCCAGCCGCACAAACTGCATCCGGAATAACTCATTTAGGAGTTATAGTAATGAACCCAGTTGATTGTTTTTTATATATTTGTTTAAATAGATATGTAAAAATATAAATAATTTTATGTTCAGTATTATAAATTACTAGATGACCCGACAGACATTGTCCTGTACTGATGTTTACAATTCAAAGTTCCAATTTTTTTTAATACCTATACTGATATTTACCAATTAGTAAAAAATTATTATGTTTTTTTACACTACAGTCTATACCGAAATGTATATACATTTACCATATTGATCTTAAATGTACAACTGCTTTAAATAAATGATGAGTTTTTGCTTTTTTGAAAAACATTATAAAACATCCGACGTTATTTTCAAAAAATGAAATTACACCACTGAGAGAAATGTCATCCTCCCGGGAAATGGCAAAGGAGTCTAAATTATTTTCACTTTTAAACTTGAGAGTAAGATAAACATTGCTCAATTCATACGAATTGGAGCACAGTAAAAAAAATTCAGACCCAGACGCTCCATTGACTTGAGTAAATATTCCGTATCCGATGGCAAAATATGAAAATACTAACGTTTGTATGTGAAAAAGAAAAGGGCTGATTTAGGGCTTTCCCGACAATTATTCGATTTTTTCTCGCCGTAAGAACCATCCTTGGACTTCAACCAACATTTTTAAAAAAATTGGACGAATTGGTTCAGGCGTTGTTGAGTTATGCGCTTACCAACACATTTTTGCGATTCATTTTTATATTATAGATCATTTATAATTGATACACAATAAATCATCAAAGTTGACTAAAAAGATTGGGGACTATAGAGGAGAATGTTGCATGAAATAATAAAACAAAA